CCTACATATGTCCTGTTGTCTTTCACAAAGTATACTCATCAAAATACCTTTAATGAAAGAATCTCACTATTATCTTCTTTCAACATCTACAACGAGACTTCTACTCCAACACTCTAGGGTATTCAGTTAATCAATTGAGTTGTTGTCAACACTGCTTACCCCCACAAGTGATGTGGAACATTCATTGCAATCATCATGTTCCGGGCTATCTCTAGAAGATGTCGATTCTTCATCACTATTACTCTATTCTGTGCTGGTATGTATGGGCATGTGGTTTGATGTTGTATCACTTGAGCTGACAAGTATTCTTTAAATGCTTTGTTGGAATATATTGTTGCATTATCAGATCTCATTGTCTTCACAATTGCACCATATTGGGTCTAAATTGCTTTGTGAAAATTTTTAAAGCAAGCAACTACCTCGCTCTTCTGTCTCATCAAATACATTCAGGTAACATGAGAAAAACAATCACTAAAAGTAACAAAATATCGATAACCATTCATAGAATACATCAGAATGTATCAAAGCAAACACACCATAGCTTTTATTCCCAGAACTGCATAAGAGCTCCTAGTGAACTTGCCAAACTCATAAACATTACATTAGTTTCTTTTTATTTGTACCAACTCAGTAAACTAAGGCTAGAATCTCCTATACATATGTGATGTAGCAGTAACACATCTTCGACGTCCTCTCAGATTCTCCTAATATAGCACTTTCTATCATGGATGTTTGAGCTAAGTTCATCCCCTCTCGGTCCATGTGTCAGAGTCTGCCATGCCACATTCCAGTCTCAAAAGTGTCTCACCCACCTTTTTCTCTTGGAAGATCCCTGTGGAATATCAAAAGAAATAATGCATTTTAATTGGAGAATAAGTGCACTAATGGATAAGATGTTTGTTGGAAAATGAGAATGCAAAACATTCATATGATTGGTACATGTCACTGTACCCTTACCAGCTACAGTTTGTATTGTCCCATCATCAGTTTGTATACTCTCTGGTACTGCTAAACGAGTATATGAAAAGAACTCTTTAGCAGTACATGTCATGTGACGAGAAGCACCAGAATCTATGATTCATTCTGGTGATTCTGTGGTGGAAATAGAGACAAGAGCAAGTGTGTTACCAATATCTTTGTTAAAATGAGCATAAGTAGCAATGTTACCCCTTGATGTCAATGGACTTGAAACATCCTCAGCTCCATCTCAAGCTGCTTTTTGCTTCCTCTTTAACAGCTCAAGACACTTATGATTCTCACTAGTAAATGTCACACCTGTCTCTCTCGTTCATCTTCTGCTATCATCAGATTTGTATGGTAGCCCTCTCTTCCACCTTTCTCTACGACCACGACCATGACTTCCACCTTGTCCACGTTCACCTATCTCTCTCTCTTTAGGTGGTTTAGGATAGGCCCTACTCAGATGATCAATTGCACCACAATTGTCACATTTGCGAGTCTCCCCTTGACACTTACCGTACCTGGGCTTGCAACGGATAATGTTGATCTGCACTCAAAAACCACTCAGCTCAGAATGTAGCTTCATTCGACTTCCCTCCTGTATCATCGCAACTATAGCCCTATCTAGTGTAGGAATAGTCGCGTGATCTAGGAGAACTGATCTCCTCTGATCAAAAGTCGGGTTTAGATGAGCAGAAACTGCATGGTCTTCTTCTATGCAAAGATCTCTCAATTCTTGCACCCCAGATCACCACAGCTTGACGTAGGTGAGAAGTGATCAATATTTCACCACAGCCACTCCAAGTATATAGAGTACTCCTGAATCGATTTTTTACCTTGACCACTGCCTTTATCTCACGCTAAATCTGAAACACCTTTATGTGGTTCTTAACTCCAACGTAGATCTTTTGCACCCAAATGGCACTCACCTTTCAAATGTCATTCACTGATGAGACAAAGATCGAACCATCGTGTTGAGTAACTAGGTGTAAAATAAGGCATGTGTGGTCCTCTATTCACCCCTTTCAGCACTATCATTCTTTGATTCAAGCCCCGTCAGATATTCTTCTAGTCTTTTCCGTACTAGAGCAGCCTTGATGCGATGCGACCAACTCAGATACGTGGTCGTTCCATCGAGTTTCAAATCCACAGGAGGGAGATCTAGCTTCACCTGCATACGAGCATGTGTCGAGGTAATTGCTCTCGTCGTGGCCATAGTTCCCTATATGAGCCCAACCAAGATGTTTAGAATCTTTCAGATCCATCTTCCCAGAATTTCCAATCCCTTACCTCCAGCACTACCTCCTTCTCATGATGTTTTGATCCGCTTTGCTTTAGCCCTCAAGAAGCTGTCTCGACTGGATTCTGAGTCATCCTAACCTTCTCTCTTCCTAATCGCGTAGAGCTTATGTCCGTCTCCTCTCTGTTCACGTGATCCACACACCCTCTCACCAAAGTCGAAGCCTCTGTTAGCTCTAGCCGAGACAACTTTTCAAGGAGCAAGCGGAAAATTGGGACTTTCGGGTCTCTTCACGTCGATCTGCTTCTGTGTGCGCCAATCTCGACTGGATTTTGCTGCTTCACGAGGACTACAACCGAAGGAACACAAAGTGTCTCTCTGTGTTGATCCATGCTCATTTGATTGACGACACAATTCGATCGACTTGCGAGTGGTAGGAGAAGCAAAGAGGAAAGGCACACTAGTTTGATCTACATCAGTCGTGGTTCTGTTCGCCAAGAGCTACGAGATCATGGAGAAGACGAAAAGGAGAGGAGGCTAACCTAGGCGAGGCGAGGCCCTGATATCATATAGATGTTAATTTGCTAAAAAACCTTCTTCATTTTATTCATGATAGGCTTATATAGAATGTTACACAGTAGATTTACAATTAAATCTCTATATTTTATATATTTACAAATATGACCCTATATTAGATATAAATAACATATATTGACAGTAGAAATGTTACTTTTGTTAAAAACAATTGGAGTTGTGAACATCCCACATAGACGTTGTAGTTTTATGAAACTTGATTTTGAAGGCAATGGATGGCTAGAGGCTACTTAAAACCAAGTGAGAAAGGTTTGATTTGGAGAACTTAGATATCAAAATACTCTCGACCACACACACACACACACACACACACACACACACACACGCACGCACGCACGCACGCACGTAAGCGAAGCCTTTATACAAGGCAACGTAAATTCATGGTTGATGGTGAGATAGCGACTACACTGGGTAACTACGTTGTTAAGGCTGTGTAACAAGTGGAGGTGGGGTGCGAGGGACCTGCAGGCTAAGGTGAAGCTAGTGTAGAAAGTGGTTGGTGGCCACAACACTAACTGTGGGCGAGGAGGATTTTAGCACCAGTTGAATGCTCATTGGAGGGCCATAAGCAAGCAAGCATATAAGGTGCTTGGTGGGCAATGGGCGGTGGGCGGTGGGTGTTGGTGAGATAGCGAGTACATTGGGTAACTATGGTGTGTTATGGCTATGTACCAAGTGCAGGTGGGGTGCGAGGGATGTGCAGGCTAAGGTGAAGCTACAGTAGAAATTGGTTGGTGGTGACAACACTAATTGTGGTCAAGGAGGATTTTAGCACCCGGTGAGTGGCTCATTGGAGGGCTATAAGCAAGCAATCAGATAAGGTACTTGGTCTGTGATGGGCGGTGATTAGACGGTGGGCGGCGGTCGAGGGCGAGTGTTGGGTGGCGTGCATACTGGTTGAGTGGGGCTAGCTTTTCTTTACTGTATCATATTGAGAGGAAATGACGACTTTCTACTATTGATTAGATATGTGAAGCCTATTAATACATTTAATTGATGACACAACAAGAAAACAAATATAAGAGAAGAAGACCTCATATTATGCAAATATTAATTTAAATATAATCACTTTTTAATATTAGTTCTATTTATTTTGTTTGCACTACTTAATGCGTCCTAGTTCTTATGTCATACAAAATGGATTAAAGAACTTTCAGTTTTTTTTTTGCTGCTTTGAATCAAGCTCGTGTAATCTGTAAATGGATTGACAAACGATATCTCGGTTAACAAAGATGTAAGTGTATTTTTTTTTCTTAGGTTTTGTTGTAGAAAATATGTTCTTTCATCTTATGGTCTGGAAATTGGAGTAACGGAATTCGTTCTTTAGTGGTGGAGGAAATGATCAAATTGGTCTTGGACTACATAGAGCACGTTCATTTTGATATTGATCGTTTTTGTTCTCTAATTTGATTCATCATATTATCAAAACGTGATTCGTTTGATCTTCTTGTTGGCTCTTCTGATAAGAGAATTTCATGCTTTAGTTTGACTAAAAAAATTCACCGAATTTAAACAGAAAGTTTGAAGGGGGACTTACATACACATACCAATTAATTGTTATGCATTTATGTACATAATACCTATTACTTTGATATTTATATATCTTACATTTTAGTGTCACAACCATAGCAAAATATATGCATGCAAAGGTGTATTTACAAATGTTTAATATTAGTGGGATTTGAGTGTGCTATGTAGTAAATATCAAAGTTTAGCCGTCAAAAATGTAAACATATAAGAATTGTGTGATATATATAAAAAGAGAAAGTTAAGTGCTAATTTTTTTTCATAAAATTAATTTCTATAAATATGCAATTATGAGGTAAACAAAACTCCCTTTCCGCTTAATCCCTCCAAACCAAACATAGTCTTGGTGTTCAAAAAATTATTCAATTATAAATTTTTATCAAGCTAATAAATAGAGGAAAACTTACATACATACCACATTTTTTATGTATTTACATATCTAACAACTAAACTTTTAAACATGTTTGTGTCATAAACCTATGCATAAAAATGTGTATTTCACTTTTAACAAAAGTGGTACATTTTATGTGACTATAAAGATTTGGTTGCTATGCTTGTAAATATGAAAATTTATGTGTTTTGATATGTAAATAAGTAGCAAATGTTGTGGTTTGTATGTAAATACCCCATAAATATATCCTATTGACGAGATTAATTTAATTTCATTCTTGGATTGCAGAATGGGATCCTTGGGGTGTACCTGATGATTATGAATGCGAAGTCATCGAAGATGACACTCCTATTCCCAAACACGTTCCTCAGCACCGACCGCCGCCACTTCCTGAAGAGTTCTTCAAGACGCTGGAAGCTGTTCAATCGAAACCTGCTGCAAAGAACGAGCAGCCATCCGATCAGCAGAAGTCGTGAACTATGCTTAGAACTTTGCAATATGCTTTGGATTTGAATTTCTGATATTTCTTTCTGTTTTCTGTTCTTTTTGTGTTGTTAATTAATAATGTGTGAGGTTCCACCTAAGTGATGTTATGCAAGAACCTGTCTGTTGAAAGAAATTTGTTTCATCTCCAGGTTTGTGAATGATTGGAGAGGGATTATGGAGAGTTGGTTTACCAAGAATTTTATTGAACTCTTTTGAATAGAAACAGGCAGGTGGAACCTAAACGAAAAGAAGTAATTTATAGAGAACTTTTGTGGAGAATTTTAGTGAGATGATATATGATTTTGTGTGATATTTCTTGTGATGAAATTTGATGTCCTGGCTGGACTAATGACCTCTTGTTCAGAATTGGCTACATAATATTTCTTGTGATGAAATTTGATCCTCGCTTTAACTCATTCCTAATTTTATAGTCTTTTTTCGACGAATCTCACTTATTTTTTAATTGCATTCTATCGTATTCCCCTCCTGTGCTTTTCTTGAACTTTTTATTATATTATGTCATCATTCTTTGTTAAATTAGGTGGTAGGCCTTTTTTCTCAATCTCACCTCTTTAAGACAGATTTCAAAATACCAGGTTCATCTTTTTATCCCACAAGGCTGACGAACTGATTTCTTTTGCCTTTACCATAAAGATTAATAGAATAAAAAGAATCGAGCAACATAAATGTGTGAAACATAATGTAAGATTATCTCATGAAAGCATAAAGTGCCATTTAAAATTTTAAAACTCAAAAAAAGAAATATTTGAAATCTACAAATTTGCAACACCACTCCAGCAATGCTAGTCCCATATACATAGCACCTACACTGCAAATAACACCTACACAGCCAACACACAATTCAACATCACCACACCAACACATCACCACACATAGTACATGCACACCACCACTACACAAACATACAACCATACATAGCACCTATGCACCATCACATCATAACACACTGCCAACACCAATCTCATATGCATAGCACATACACATCACCACCACTACACAGCACCTACAAACCAACACCACACCATAACACATAGCACCTACACATAACTCACATGTACACAAACCACTACCAATATACCAGCATGCCACCACACATAACACCTAACCACCACACCATCAACACCCTTCCCATATACCTGCACCTACACACCACAATCACACCAACACACCACTGCACAGAACACCTACACACCACTCCCATGTACACACACAACCAATATTGCACCAACACACCACCACACATAAAACCTACACACTACCACACATAGCACCCAAGTACAACACCATCAACACACCACCAACATTACCCCCCAAAACACCACACATAATACCCACACACCATCACCACACCAAAGCACCATCACACATAGCAACTACACACTACTCTCATGTACACAACACCAACACACCACCACACAAAGCTTCCATGAGCATCTTTGAAACAATATAACACATTTACATCACCTCCACATAATTTCAAGGCCTCCAACCTAAGAGCACTTAACAACATCAACATTCCCTTTCCAACTAGTGAAATGTTGCCCAATTTCTTCCAAAAACATCCACAAAACACCATTGAACAATTCTTCATAACCCTAGACCCAATTCAATGCCTCTACTCCATCAATTTCCCAAAGCCAAAAACATTTCAATTTTTTGGTTTTGTATCAAAACCTTCCATCCGAGCAAGAGGCCAACTCACCAAAACTAACCAAAATTTTTTTTAAAAAAAAGATAATATTAAAAGGCTATAAACTAGAAAATCATTCCCAACTTCCGAAGTCCACATATGCCACAAAAACCTGATTCCAAATGCTACAAAATCCAATTTCAGCTATCCCAGAGCCCACCATTCTCAAATTCATTTATTTCGGGGGTCACAAATAGAAAAAAAAAACAAGTTACAAAAGACCCTAAACCACAAACTGAGTAGAACAAAGTGCACACACAAAAAATAAAATGGGAGGTAGAATATCGATTTCACATGTGGAACAAAGCCACAAAACACATTGAGAAAACACACATTCCAATTCAATCACAAATTGCAACAATAAATGATATAGGATATTGTGGGATATTAAGGGAAGAACACTTCTAACTACACAGATAAGAGAAAGGAGATGATCTTAGGGAAAAGAGCGAAGAGAGGTGGCAGAAATGTGAGAGTCGGCATGAGAGAGAGAGAGAAAGAGAAGTGAGAGAGGCTGAGACGTGAAGGAGCTAGTGTAGAGACACAAAGAAAATAGGACAGAGACGCAATGATAGGAAGGGACAAAATGAGATAAGAACATCCACAAAACACCATTGAACAATTCTTCATAACCGTGGGTAAAACCCTGTGGTCCGCGTGGGTCCGTGTTTACAGGTGCGCCTTCAACGACGAAATTACTGTCTGAAACTGTGATGTACCCTAAACACCATGCTAAATGGACCCTGCATGATTTGTGAAGGCTTTTAAATGGAAATATATTATACTAAATGACAATTTTGTTGAGAAATTAGGGCGAAGAAAACCAGGAATCGACACAAATTCAGAAAAATACAAAGATATTTAACGAGGTTCGACAAAGATGCTTACGTCCTCAGGAGTAGAGCAGCGAATTTCTTTCAATATTCAGAAAAGAGATGACAGAATTTGGGATACCTTCTAGGTTACTAACATACCTATTTATAACCCCAGGAGTAAACTCTAAGTACAATATGTAATTACAACATTACCCTTGTACCGAACCGCGAGGCGTTGCCCCCGCACCCCCAACCCACATAACGCAACTTTCAAATTTGGACAAATTCTTCCGCTCCACTCCTCTCCACTCTGCTCCGCTTCGATCCAGCGTCTATCCCTATATGGTATATGAGCCACACCATAAAAAATCTCCACCTTGACCAATATCCACCCCCTTAGGAGAAAAGATACTTGGGAGTTACACATGCACCAATGTAGGTTGGGCCACCATGCTTCTCTAGCAACTGCAGACATTCAACAAGTCCAAGCAATGCAAGAACTTGTTGATAGTAACTGACTTGGTCAACATATCTGTTGTGTTTTCATCAGTATGAACCTTCTACAACAATATCTCACCAGAAGCAATCAATTCTCTAATCTTGTTATATCTGACATCAATGTGCTTGGTTCTCGCATGGTACACCTGGTTCTTAGCCAAATAAATTGCACTCTGACTATCACAATGCAACTGAACTCCACCTTGCTCAACGCCCAGTTCCTTTACTAGCCCAACAAGCCATAAGACTTCTGTTGCAGCTTCAGCTACTGTCATGTACTCAGCTTCAGTTATAGATAATTTCACAATAGACTGAATTGTTGATTTCCAACATATAGGCCCTCCACCAATAGTAAACACATACTCAGCTGTAGACCTTCTGCCATCCAAATCACCAGCATAGTCAGAATCAACGTACCCCACAACTTAAGGATCATCCAGCTGAATGCAAAAAATGATTCCATGTCCTACAGTACCCTTTAAATACCTGAAAATCCACTTGCCTGCTTCCCAATGTCGCCTTCCAGGTTTAGTCATGTATTTGCAGACTTGACTAACAACATGAGCCAAATCAGGATGAGTACATACCATTGCATACATCAAGCAGCCAACTGCACTAGCATATGGAACATTTGTCATGTCTCTGATTTTTGTATGTCTTAGGACAATGTTTTGAAAAAAGCTTAAAATGATTTGCCGAAGGAGTGCTTACAGGTTTTGCTTTGCTCATCTCAAACCTGTCCAACACTTTCTCAACATAGCTTTGTTGAGATAAACATAATCGTCTTGAGCCTCTATCTCGATGAATCTCCATTCCAAAAATCTTCTTTGTATGACCCAAGTCTTTCATGTCAAATTCCTTGCTCAATAAATCTTTCAAACCACAGACATCATTCATATTCTTTGCAGCAATCATTATATCATCAACGTACAGTGACAAAAAAATAATAAAACGATCTTCAAGGCTCTTCACATAAACACAACAATCATACTCACATCTCATGTAGCCAATCTGAATCATGTAGAAATCAAACCGCTTGTACCATTATCTTGGAAACTATTTCAACCCATACAGTGATTTATTTAACCTGCTAACCAGATGCTTTTGTCCAAGTTGAGTGAACCCTTCTGGCTGCTCCATGTAAATCTGCTCCTTCAGATCACCATGCAAGAAAACAGTTTTAACATTCATCTGCTCCAAATGCAAGTCCCAAATGTCTACTAATGCAAGCACTGCCCTGATTGAAGTATGTCTGACCACATGAGAAAAGATTTCATTATAATATATCCCTTTCTGCTGTGAAAATCCCTTTATTACCAGTTGAGCCTTGTACTTTTCCCCTTCTTTTTTTGATACTGCTAGTTTCCTTTTGTACACCTACTTGCAACCAATAGCATTCTTTCCCTCAGAAAGTTGAACTAGCTCTGATGTGCGATTTTTCTGCAAAGACTCCATCTCCTCAATCATTGCACCCATCCATTTCTCTTTCTCCTGGCTAGTGATAGCTTCTTGAAAAGTGACTGGATCATCGCTGCTAATGAGAAGTGCACAAGAGGCTAAGTCTTTATAACCCAATATGCTAGGAGACTTTATATTGGTGTGTCAATGTCTATCTCTAGCTAGATTATAATTATGCAGATCATCTGGAATGGAATCACCAGGTGTTGGATTTAAACCTTCCACTCTCTCAGTTGTTTCTGGATGTTGTTCTAAATTCATATGCACTGCATCTGAACTGGAACTGTTCCCTTGCACCTTGTCTTGATTCTGCTGCAACATGGACTGTTCATCAAAAACTGCATCTCTGTTGATCACCATCTTCTTTGCAATCAGATCCCAAAACTTGTATCCTTTCATACCTTTCATATAGCCCAGAAAGATGCACTTCTTGGATTTTGCATCAAGTTTTGATCTTTCATCTCCAGGTACATGCACATAAGCAGGACAACAAAAAATCCTTAAATGATCAAAATTAACGGGATTACCTATCCATATCTCTTCTGCGACCTTGCCACCTAATGATGCCTGAGGTGATCTATTGATGAGATAACATGAGATAATTGATGAGATAACATGTCATATTCACAACCTCTGCCCAGAAACTCTTAGGAAGCCCTGCATTCAGTCTTAAGCATCTTGCCCTTTCAGTGAAAGACCTATTCATCCTTTCTGCTACACCATTATGTTGTGGTGTCTTGCACA